TTACGTTGTATAGGGTATGTCACACAAAGCTTCAAGACACCTTTTGCGTCGAGCTAGTGGCAAGGATATGTCGAGTAGCCTTCGGCAGAGGTTTTCCAAGAGAAATAAAAAAGACTGCCTAGCGGATCCTTTCAGATCCTTCAACAAGGATAATCTCATGCTCTGAAACCAATTCGATATGATCATCCCTAATCTGAACCGCATTGAGCAAAAGTTTCAATAATTTCCTTATCGTGCCGATTTCCCGCCTTATCTAAACGCAAGGTGGGGTTGTGTTTTGATCATCGTGAGGCTAGACCGCTTTTGACGAACCATTCGAGCGACATCGTCACTCCTCTAAGCCACATTCGAATGGAGATGCTAAAAGCAGGAATTCATTCGAACTACAGCTGCCGATCTCGCACTGCCTGGGAGGCCGCAAGAATAAGCATTAATGTTAATATCTTGTTTCAATTTGAGATCTCATCAAAGAAGTCTTTTTTCGCGTTAAGATTGGAGAGCCTGTTGATCCTATCATGAGCCAGGACATGGTTGAAGCTAAGCTTGGATAGGATATTTAAGGGTTCAGATGAATTTCTTGGCAGAGCGTTTGAACAAAGTGGATTCAACTACTCCCATTGCCCTATCAACTCCTCACAAGAGCGACTTTTCAAGTCGACAGGGTACAGCCACAAAAGTAAGCCAGCCGGCCGCTCTCACTTAAACCGACAAATCACAACAGCCCTACATGTCCCAAGCTCCCAAACCCCTGGGAAGCTATGAATGGCTGACACGCTGATCCCTGCATCTACCGGACAAGCCCGCGGAGCACCCCGTTGTTCACGATACAGAAAAGGTGCCAAGGCCGGCAGATCGGTCGTATCAATGGCCGTTTTGGTGGGAAGCTATGCTGTAGGGCTGACGCTGATCCATAGCTGGCTGTGCTGATACTGCGTTTAGATTACCTAGTATCTGAGGGTTTCATTGCAGGGGTTTAGCTTGAAGATGACGGCGTTGGGATTTGTATATATTGAGCTTCTGTCGTCGGTTGCGAAAATTCAAATCTCATCTTCACAACAGACAAGCGACTACATCTCAGCATATACTTGTTTTCTTTTTCTTTTTTCTCAAATTATAGAACATCACCACTATGGGTCTCTTTAGAAGCGGCGACGACGATAAGTCGAACGTTACTTGCCCTACGCATTCTTTCGCTCAAGGTACTACCAGCCTTGCCGACGCGTCGACCTCCAGCTAACATACGAAAGATGCCGAGAAGAATATCACCGGTAGCTTGAGCTTTTACCAGCTGAGCATGATCATCGGCGGTTCTTTTGCTGCTTTCGCTCTGATTGTCATGTTCTTCATCAACATGATGCACGCAACGCATCTCTCCAACCCCTCAGAACAAGTCAAGTACGCGCAGCCAACTCTCCAGTCCCAGTATAAGTGCTAACATCCTCAGGATCATGCGAATCGGCACACTGATTTCTGCGTTCTCCATCATTTCGTTCCTCTGCATCTGCTTTCCCCATGCAGCAGTCTACATCGAGCCCTGGCTTCACGTCTACGAAGGTTTCGCGCTGGGATCTTTCTTCCTCCTCCTCTGTGATTATGTATCACCGAACCGCGACCAACAGGACGTGTTTTTCGCTACAAAGAAGAAGAATGGTATCAAGTGGTTCAAGGTACTGTTGTCTCTTATCAGCAATTGGAAATCTTACTGACAGCCTTCTAGACACGTTGGATTATGATCTTTCAGATGCCCGTCATCGCAATCGGTGTCGCAGTCGCTACCGATATTACTCAAGCCGCCGGTATCTTCTGTCAAGAAAGCAACAATCGACACTTCGCCAACATCTACCTCCGAATCATCATGTCGATCTCCCTCGTCATTTCAGTCCTCTCGATCCTACAGATGTACTTCCTTCTCAAGAAGGACCTCGCCCACCATAACCCGATGCTAAAGCTCACTGCTTTCAAGATCGTAGTCGGTTTGACTTTTATCCAGGGTGTAAGCTCTATCCCTTCTTACCTCTCTACCATGACACTGACCGTTTAGATCATCTTCACCGTTCTCAACGACCAGAACGTTCTCAAGACCAGCGACACGCTAACCTACGCTGATGTTCACGTTGGTATCCCCAACCTTGTCATCTGCATCGAAATGGCTCCTCTGTCGCTATTCTTCATGTTTGCCTACCCATGGAGCGTTTACAAGTCTGGCCATGGCCGGGGAAACTTTTCCAAGTTGGAGCAGGGCAACATTCCTGAGGGGTCATACCAGGGCGGTCCTTTCGGTATCCATGCTTGGCTGGCCATGTTGAACCCCTCCGACTCTTTCAAGGCGATCTTATTCATCTTCAAGCAAGACAACCGGAATGCTTCTACAACCTCAGTCAACATGACGGGATATCAGTCCAACGACCCTTTGGTGTCGCGTCCCTATAACCCTCAGCCATACTCTACCACGAACTAAGGTCCAGAGAGCGAGGCGGGTTTTTGATGTCTTTTATGATGGTGGGCATGACGATGAGCAGGATGGGATGGATATGTGGATAGATAGCTGGCAGCGGGATGAATGATTTCTTTCGTGAAACCTTTTTATGTTATTATATACCTTGACTCAATGATTACAATTCCTTAGATGATTGGGCCATGTCTGCTGCACAAGACATGTTGGTTTAGAAGTCGTGAGTTCGTTTTCATTCAAGCCTTACCATGGTCAGTGTATACTACGTGCCTATAAGAACAAGACCATGTTTGGAGGCCCAAGTGGTACCAGGCGGCCAGAGGCTTCGAGACGGACCGAAAGATTAAGGAATGCAATACCCTTAGATGTGCGCTCAGAAATCTCTCCACTCTGTGCCATCGTGGAGATAAGATTAAGCGTGATCTTCTGACTTGATATTAAGGTTACTGTTTTTTCTTTTGGCGCAGTGTATGACGCCCTTATATTGTGGTTTTGTTGAAAAGGCGCTATGATTTTGTTACTTGATATGTGGCTACCGCATTACGTCTCTCTTCATAAGGGCTTAAAGCCACACGCAAAGGACACATATCAACACATGTAAGCAAGCAAGACATACCCAGAACATGACATTTATCGCCCGAAGACCGACATCTAATCGACCCTTGGCCTGTTGGGGGGATAAGGTTACGGGGCTTGATAAAGCGAGGAAGAAAAAGAAAAACAATACGAAGAAAAACAACACATTTTATCATATAATGACAAGCTACCCCTCGCTCCCTCTGTTTACAACATGCCTACTCATTGTCTTCTCCGAGTCGAATCTGGTCTGTACAATTCTGCAGCGACAATTCAGTCGGCCCTTGGTCAAAAACTCCTCTACCCTTCATGAAGCCCACCCAGGTTCTCATCGCTCTTGCGGCAATTGTCTATGCGGCTCCCGTCGTAGAGCAGGCCAAGGCCCTTCCTCTCGCTGAACTAGACACCTATTTCGAACACCACGTTAAACGCTGTGGCAAGGACGAGCCCCCTTTCCTTGGAAGATTCCCATTCACGAACGAAACTTATAACCAGCTCACCGACGGGACGCCCTGCCGCAACGTAACCATGCTCTACGCCCGAGGAAGCAGGCAGGCAGGCAATGTTGGAAAAGCAAATAATACCGGTCCCGCCTTATTCAATAGCCTTGCCGACCGTATTGGCTTGGAGAACCTGGCCGTCCAGGGCGTGACTTACAAGGCGAGGAGGCGGGACTACTTTTTCAAAGGAGGCTGTAACGAAGGCAGCAAGACCATGGCTAAACTAATCAACCAGGTACGTCAAAACATGACGAGGCATCCCTGATGAAGAAGATACTGACACCGTACTTACAGGCCGCGAGCCAGTGTCCCGATACCAAGATTGTCATCGCCGGTTACAGCCAGGGCGCCCAGCTCTTACATAAAGCTGCTAAAAATATAACTGCCACTGTGACCCAGCACATCGCTGCCGGTTAGTACCTATAACCCTTCACAGCATTGACAACTTGCCACTGACTTCGCGTCTGAGTAGCTGTTACGTTCGGTTACCCGGAGAAACCCATGGGCAAAATCGCCGCATGGCGTAGTCTGAGCGTCTGCAAACCAGGTGATAGCTTTTGTGATAAAACGGTCCCCTGGAAGCCCTTTGTCCCCTTTCCGGGCGCGCCCCTCTGGTGGTTCCTTACTATGTTGGACACGCACGGGGATTACAATGAAAATGCCACTGCTGTCGCCAACTGGATTGCTGATCGGGTTACCAACATTGGATAGCCATACTTTCCTTTGTACATCCACTTACATTTTTGTAAACTTCCCGCTCAAATGTATTATGCCTCAGAACTATGGAGTTACAGCAGCAGGGTGATTAGTATATAGGCTTTCTATGAATAATTACCCTTAAGTTTACCCGTCCTGGGAAGGTTTATATTATTTGGGAGGCAAAGGTTGTTTAATTTGGCATTTTCTAACTTGTCTTATTGCCAAGATTAGAGATGCTCTGATGTTTCATTGGCAAGGCCCTGTTTCACCATCATCTCCCTTTGCACTACATATATTTCTCCGTAGAACACGCAAATCTCGGTTGATGTCGCTGCTCGACACATATGGGCTCAAACTCTGCCATAACAGCAGTTGGTACGGATAGAGAAATGGCTTGCAAGGCTTCTGCACTTCCCGCGCACAAATAGTCAGCGATGACTTTCTATGTTAATATCTTCTTTAATGCCTGCATCCATGTTCTCCTCCCTCCATGGTCTGCTGAGAGGGTGTCTAGTCAAGCCTTACTATGGCCAGTGCATACTACGTGCCCATAAACGAAACCATATGTCTGACCCTACCGTGAATTATAACGTACACTGACTATCGGGATGCAATGTGGAGATAGCCAATTGTCTCAGTGGTGCTAGTGCTACTGGTAGAATATTATTGTGAACGCGCTGGAACATTAGCCATTAAGATCACAGGAAAAGGTTACTTTGGAATTAACTTTATATTCCAAAATAGAATTGAGCCACCTTATCCAATCAGAAGGCGCCTTCATGGCTCAGTGGTAGAGCGTGTCACTAGTAATGACAAGGTCCACGGTTCGATCCCGTGTGAAGGCACACAAGGTGATTTCATCCACTTTATACTTTTGGCGATCTGTTTTTGAGGTTTGTTTACCCTCATTGATCAGTCTCATGTTAACGGCAATCTTGTCAAATAATGGCCATTGAACCTTGTTGACTTGTTCCTCCATGCTTGCTGCAGTCAGTGCTATGAACATGAAGGCCCTAATTACCCCAATTCGCCCTTATACCCGAGCCAGAAGCGAGTACCACCGGATGCCCATATATCCATCGTGAAGATTACTATTCCCATCTCCAATCCATTTTGCCCAATTTGTCTCGCCCGAGTCCTGATCGAACAGACACCACTTTCCCCTTCTGGCTTCGCAGGTGACTCCTCTCGCTTCCAACCCATGCATCAACCAGTCTCCGGGTGTTTCAGCAGACGATGCTTCAGATGATCTGCCAGCAACAAATCCATACAGATACACTCGTTTCAATCTGGGAAGTCTCTCTTTATCGGTAATTGTGTCCCCGATGGCATCCACCAATGCCCTGTTGCCAGTACCAGTCTTTCCGGTGGAGAGAAACTCGTCCTCAGAGAACCCTTCGTTGTCTTCGATTCCTGCTGCAGGTCGATGTTCGATGACGAGGGTCTCCAGAGTCCGACTAGACGCCAGGATGAGCCCTTTCCATAGTTCGAGACTGTCTCGCTCTGCGGTCGTCGACCATGAATTATACTGGTTGAAGTAATCACCACGGCTATTGCAGAGGGAACACAGGTATAAGTGCCTGAGGTTTGAGAATGGTAGTCGAGTGTCGGGGAAGGAATATCCAAATGGTCGTGGGATGACTCCCCCGAGTTGATGTCCCCATCGGCCATGATTTCCGTCATCTTGTTCACTGATACCGACTGTATTGGGCAGCGGCCGAGCCAACATACCAATTTCCAGACGCTCGAGTGTTTCGTGAGATTGCAGAACGTAAGTTGCAACAGATCGCGGGATATAAGCGAAGAGCTTTGCGAACCGCAGCTTGGTCAAAGGCGTTTCTCGTATCTCCTCAAGCTCTCTGTAGTAGGAAGTTTCAAAGGCGCCGTGAAGCTCCAAGTATTCGAGGTTCTTGAAGTAAGGTAAGAGCTTCCAAGCAGAGACTGGCTCTGCCACCGAACTTTCATCAGGCTTCCACTCTTGCTCAATCACGGTACACAGACTCTTCACTCTGCCAGCAACTTCCCTCATTCGTCCTTCATCGTAAGAGTGAAGTGCCTGCAGCATGGCGAAGAGACTCTTGGCTCTTTCACTGATATCGCTCTGCCAACCATCCCTTTTCGAATCATGGTAAAACCGATTGGGAGATTTGTATGGTAATGGCTCGTTGAGCTCTGCGCTCGACTCATGGTATCCCTCCTCATGAAGCTCAATATCCCTCCATAGACAGTCTCCAGCGATTGATGCCAAGCGCTTGCAGGTGTAACTGAGACGGCATAATTCTTGGGGAGAACTGTCGCGGATTATCTGGAGAAGAATCTCGCAGGGCAATGAGTCAAGTGAGGCCATCGTAAAATCTGATATTGTCGATTGCAAGAGTAAGACCGATTCTGAAGCGTTATATGTTTTCTGGACATCCGTCAATTGCTTATACTGCTTACGGTCTCACCTCCCGTGATCCGTCGGAGAGCGGCGCATGCTGTCATATCGGTCGACTGGTTGTAAGACAGCATCCTTGGCTCCAGATATCGACCTATCAGGTCATTCAATGAGTTTAACACTGCTCAGCACACCAGATTTGGATGCGTGGATAAATATGTGCTAATTATTTGACACAAAGACTGCGCCAGAGAGAAGCTTCGCCACTCATGAGAGTAAGGTCGGGATGGCCTCCAGTATACTTTCATCCGTCCCTCATGACCTTAAAACAAACATCTGGGGGGATTGAATAAGAAAGTAAACTAAAAAATGGAAAACTGGAGACTAGATTCCCCGATAGACGGGGAATGAACGATGTAGTTACACGTACTCACATGAATCTTGGGAGTCATCCAAGCAACGCAACAGGACGGACCGGGAGTTGGAGACAATGATATAGTCGCGTTAAAGCTGAGATTCATATTTGTAAATAGTCTAAAGCCAATGTGTAGTGACACCGGCGATTTGCAATCGCCGCTCTATTGAACGGGATCATGACTGGTGGTTCTGTCATAACACGAAGCACTTAAGCAGAAACTTGATGGGCAAGCGACAAATTCATCAAGTATAAAAAACCTAATTAATTTATAAATGTGGTCTTGGAGAGTTACTCTCTGGCAGTGCTCGAATAATTCTGGTGGTTGAAGATTTGTTATGAGCCGTCCGTGCAAAAGCCTAACACTTGCAAGTAGCTCAACCAATCACCTCAGCGAAACACTTACTATTCATTATTACGGAACAATGCAAAAGGATATGTCATAGCCATGAGATAAGAGATCAGAAACCGGATGACCGCCGATGTATTTTGTGCTGTGTTAACGGATCGGATCCTTGCCCGTAACACGTCGGACCGCCTCCACCGAGTCAGCCAGCCCCGCCGGGCTCAAGCGCCGACACTTCCACCAAGAACTTGAAACAAAAGGAACAGAATCGCTTCAAATTTCCGACATACTAGCTCAAGCTTACCACATTCCTATACCAACACAGCTCCACATACCTACAGCACAATGTTTGTTCAACAACACTCGGCATTTGACGCAGCGGAATACATCCCGCCCGACCCCATCTTTGAAGTGACCAAGCGGTTCAACGCAGACCAGAACCCTCAGAAGGTGAACCTTGGGCAAGGCACATACCGTGATGAGAACGCTAAGCCTTGGGTTCTTCCATCTGTGAGGGAGGCTGAGAAGCTGATTGGCAGTGCTGGTCATGAGTATTTGCCAATTGAGGGGTTGCAGAGCTTCAGGGATGAGGCTACCAAGTTGTTGTTTCATGACACGTCTGCGCTGAAAGAAAATAGAGTCAGTTCAATTGCCCGCCAATTTTGGTATGTTCGTTAACACCTCCCAGATTGCGAGTTGTCAATCTATTTCTGGAACTGGATCTCTCCTCCTAGCCGGTCTTGTTCTTCGCAAAGCCAACTCAGGTATCGAGAACATCATTATTACAGATCCAACCTGGTCAAACCACGATCTTCTTTTCAAAGAAATCGGTTTCAACGTAGTAAAAGCACCCTACTACCAAGATAGAAGCTTTGACTTTGAAGGTTACATCAGCGCACTGAAGGCAACTGATAAGCGTTCTGCTGTTGTTCTCCACGCCTGCGCTCATAACCCAACTGGCTGCGATCCAACTCGTGACCAATGGAAAGAAATTGCATCAGTGATCAAGGAAAACGGGATCTTTCCAATCATCGATTCAGCATATCTTGGCTTCAACTCCGGTGATTACGATGAAGATGCATGGGCGATTAAGCACATCATCGAAGATCTCGGTCTTGAAGCCGCGATCTGCATGTCATTCGCCAAGAACATGGGGCTCTACGGAGAGAGGGTTGGACTTACGGCGATCGTCACAAAGTCTGAAGACGCCAAACGAACGGTGTTCTCACTGCTCCAGAATGCTCAACGACAGACTGTCTCAAATCCTCCCGTCTATGGAGCGAGAATCGCAGCTACTGTTCTTGGAAACTCTGAGCTCTTGAAACAGTGGCAGCAAGATCTTGTTACCATGTCTTCACGAATCAGGTCGATGAGGAAGAAGCTATATGACGAGCTTGTGCGGTTGGGGGCGCCGGGAGATTGGTCGCATATTGTCAACCAGACTGGCATGTTCGGGTATACTGGTATCAGCAAACCCCAGATCGAACGTTTGGAAGGTAAGTAATGTCTCTATCTTTTGAGATGCGTACTGACGTGGTTACAGAGCAATATCACATCTACATGGCGAATACGTCAAGGATAAGTCTTGCTGGCCTGAATGAACATAATGTCGAGTATGTGGCAAAATCATTAGATGAGGTGGTTCGGAATGTACAGTGAAGAAGATGGATACTGAATCACAAGTAGTAGACAACAATCAATAGAAGATATTCAATACTAGCAAAAGTCCTTCCGATATCTTACTGAGATCTGCTTGTAGCACGCACAACTTGCCCTAATCCTGCTCTCAAGATAGACTTCAGTGATGGCAATAAAGAAACAACGAGAGAAAGGAAACTAATGTTCAATAGATAATACCGCAAGTTCTTTCTATGAGCTGAGTAGTTTTCGCCTTGGCCATCTCGAACACAGGGTTCTCAATCGGTGCTCCCGACCCTTCATCGACGATGAATCAGCAGATAATGGATCTGAAGACTCCGCATCGGGCCTCCCACACATGTCCTCAGATACTTCGAGAACATGTAGATCCCATGAGACTTCAGGACAACAACACGACCCCTGAACTCAAGGCACGTTCCAAGGTCACTGGTGCAGAACTAGATCCGTCCGTAACCGCCCCCCCACCATCGACAATATCTCCTTCACCAAACAAACGCTCGTATCCAATTCCATCCCACGCCGGTCAGACCTCCGATACAAACTAGAATATGCAAAACGGCTTCTAGCGTAACACAAACCCGAGACCCAAGTTCCCAACCCCTGCCCTTCGCCAGGACAAGCCGATGCATGGCGTATCACGCCCTGTTCCCCCCCCCCCCCCCCCCCCCCCCCCCCCCCCCAACTACCGCATCCGGACTAACTTCTTCAGATGGCCATTCCCGTAGCTAGCAAGAGTGCATATCTCTGTGATACGTGACCAAAGTGGGGTTAGCGAAAACCATCGGGAAACTCTCCCGCTTCCAAGTCTAGACCTCCAACGCACCTCGCTAAAGATAATAAAATTAAAAAAAAAAGACACCGATGACGGTCTGATAAGATGTCCATGTGACGAGTTACCCCGCTTCCCCGCGGTGTTTGTTCAAAGGGAACGCGTATCGGTTGGGGTGCCGATAGGGTGTGACCAAAGGTTGTTAGAGCCGCGTGAGATGGGGGTTCGAAGTCAAATAGATGATAAGGTTATGATGCTTCACTTCAAAAAAGCACATTT